ACAACGAGCAATTCGACCACGTCCCCCATTTAAAGACTGTTGGATTCGACAAAAGACAGCTATATGTTAATGTCAGTTTGGAAAGAACATTTTAAATTAATAAAAAAAAAAAGGGGGGGCGGTATTATCTAACATTTGCTTGTTCATCATTATATTTTTCAGATGTAATTTATAAATTTGATATCTGAAAGTTATATTTTTTCACGCTCTAACTTTTGAACTTGATATTCTAAGCTAGCCTGGCTTACAGCTTAAGTGTTGTATTATTTGGGGTGTAGTCTGTCAAATAATGAGTGAAGATTATACTAAAGTTTTCCCGCGTTTCGTAGTATAGCGGGAAAACATTGTATGATTGGAACGTATTTTATTGGAAATGCCTGTTTATGGTAGGCGTGGCTAAAGGAAGGCCAATGAGAAGGTGGTATTTTGTGAGGTGTTGGATCATTCTAAGTCAGTGCTCCGCAGAACACACACGTGTTTTTGCTGAGTTTTTTTATCTATATTCATATGTTGTTATATGTAATATATTATATAATGTAATATTGTCATATATTTTGATTTTGCTTTATTGTACATGTACATAAACGGTGTTTATGCATACCAAGTACTGCTCCGAATGCACGTCCGGCATTCTCCCTTGAGGCATTATTTACATAGCGACGGACACAGGTTTCCATAGTTACTCGTCTATGGTTTTTCCTGGGCGGTTTTTAATGTCTTTGATAGGGGTATAAGGCATAGCATGTAACACATAGTTAACCAAAACATTGCAGTACTTCATTGTTCACATACACAAAATGTATGCCTGTTTGTTATGAATTGTTATTAAATAAATGCCAGCTGCTCCCACTAAGCTAGCCTGGCTTACAGCTTAAGTGTTGTATTAATTGGGGTGTAGTCTGTCAAATAATGAGTGAAGATTATACGTAAACAACTTCCAGTCATTTTTGTACAATGATTTTTTTTAATCTTTTTAAAGAGCTCCACAATTATCAAAGGGAGATAATTCAGTTTCAAAGTTAATGTCAGCTATTTTAATCAAATATTTCTCATATTTATAGAGAGAATACCAACAAGGTTTTAACATGCCTTTTAAAATTAGATGTTATATTTCTTATTTTTGTTAGTAACATGAATTGAAGTAGCCGCATTTCATTAAAAAACTTTCCCAAATATTGCATTTTTTCAGAAAAAATCAACTTTAGACACCGTTTCCATGGTAACTACCCAACATTCATATGATCCAACTATATTTTTCGAAGTAGTTTATGAGGTGGTACTTTCCAGCCAAAATTGAAAAAAATCTGTGACTATGCGTGCCACAAAAGTTTAAGTGGTTACAGAGAATGGGTATTAACACCTCTTATTTATTTTCGAATCCATCTGAGATAATAGGGTTAGTTTTTAAATCTAATTGAGAGATAAGGGTTAGTATTTAAACCAGGCTAAGAGATAAGGTTTAGTACTTACCCCCCCCCCCCCCCCTTACCGAGAGATTAGATTTAGTTTCAAATCTACTTAAGTGTTTAGGGTTAGTTTCAAACCCACTTGAGAGATTAAAGTTAGTTCTCGAATCCACATGAGAGGTCAGGATTAGTTATCGAATCCGCCTGAGAGATAAGGGTTAGTTCCAGAACCCACTTGAGAAATCAGGGTTAGTTATCAAACATAATACATTGAGGCTATTCCTCTATCCCACCTTGGGGTCAACCCGTCGACCTGTCAAACAGTCGACCTGTCAACCAGTCGACCTGTAAACCCGTCAGCCAGTCTACCAGTCGACTTGTCAACCCGTCAAATTTGGCGTATGAAGGCATTTTTACTGGGACTACGTATCCATATACCCTAGTTGCGCCGATTATGGATTTCCTTTTGCAGGTTGTACCAAGGACAAATAATTGTAAATACAATATGAATTGCATATAATTAGAAGAGGAACTTTAAAAATTGATCCGTGTTAATAATAATATCATGTATTGCCTTTTGTGAAGTATATTTCAAAACGAAAGAAAAATATTTTTTTAAGATGTGACGCACATGATCAGTACTTGAATTATAAACTTAATGCAAGATTCTAAAACAAAAACACTGCAACTGTTTTATCCCTCAAACCTTTAAACACCGAGTTTGGGTTATACTTCTACTATAATAACTAATCTCTGTTTGTAGGGAAGAGTATATTTCAACTTGCCTAATCAATATTTTAAAACGAAAGTAAAATATTTATAAAGATAATTAAAATTTATTAACTGTACTCTACTGTACTCTTTTAGGGTGAATCTAAATGATAAAAGTAAATTTATACCTATAATGAATAGTGACGTTTAAGTTAAACACTTACTGTTACCATGAATTTCTGTTTCTAGGGACTAATCTTTGTCAACTTCCGTTACGATTGAATTAAATGTATAATAATAAACATAGATAAAAATAGATTTCATTTAACTGGTTGAAGTTCAAAATGTACTATTTTGAGATAATTCAATGTTAACGCAAGCATGGTTAGAAATATATTCTTTTTTAATTTCAATAAATTATATGTCTGATAAACGCTACACAGCTAATTGTGCCACGTACGTTTCACGTATGTTAAACGTATGTGACACGTACGTGACTTCACGTACGTTTTCCATGAAAAAGATACCACGTATGTTATACATACGTTTTCACACGTGTGAATATCATGTGTGTCACATATGTTAAACGTACGTATTGCCCACCATACGTTACACATATATTGCACACGTATGTTATTCATACGTTTCACATATGAATAACGTATGTGCAACGTGTATGTAACATATGTTTCTCATAACATGTTTAATGGGTTTATTATTTGCACTGCTCATATAGTAAATGTATGAATACCATACAAAAATGTGTCAAACCATGGTTAAACACATGTTTTGAACATTTTTTTCACATATTGTAAATGTTGGTGAAACAAAAATTACGTGAAATTTAGATATTCAATTCATGCATTTGACATAATTTCCCTCAAAGGCATATTTTCTTTTCATCTGTTGAATGATCCACTTTCTGGTTATCCTTCACTTTAAATTTCCTGATCCTTAATTGCTCTTGAAGCAATCACAACAAAAGACATACTTAGAATTAAACCAAATTTAGTGTAGAGTATGTTAATTAACATCAATTCATTTTTCTCCAGTTCTCTTTTGCCTGTAAAGAAAAAGAAAATATTAGATGCATGGAATAAGGGAAAAACCCATTTTTTCCCCTGAACATTATTATTATCCTGATATTAATCCTGGTTGATTCACTGTATAACTTAAATATAAATACTAAATAATTAATTTTTTAGTATTCATAACCATGATCTTTTAAACTATTTTTTTCACTATATCCTCGAATATTTACCTTGTAATTCTCTTATCTAAAATTCATTACATAGCATTGATTTGTGCGTGAACTCGGAAAAAAAAATGTGTTTGTACATACTAATACCCCATATGCCAGCTTATGGTTAAAGTTTCCCAAGTGTAAGTCAAACTCCAAAGTCAAGGTCAAATTGTTGACATCCAAGGAAGGACTTGTCACAAAGAATAAATCTGTGAAATATGAAAGCCCTACTACTACCAGCTCAAAAGTTATGATCAAAGTTATAAATTTTTTTAAACAGTGGGTTAAACTAGAAGTTCAAGGTCAAATATTTTAATTTATACCCATTGAAAGGTCTTGTCACAGTAAATATACAAGTGAAGTATGAGAGCCCTTGCACCAACTGTTCAAAAGTTATGGCCAAGATTCAAGTTATGAAACTTTCTTAAAACTTAAGTTAGTCACAATCCAAGTTCAATTCTAAAGGTTAATTTGGTGTACCAATACAAAAGTATTGTCACAATGAATACCCAGGTCTGTGAAATATGAAGGCCATACTTTCACCCACTAAAATAATATGGCCAATGTGAAAAAATTTTGCAGACAGACAGACAGGGCAAAAGCTATATAGATGTACCCCAGAATCTTTGATTACAGGGGTATAAAACTTATTCCTCATTGTCATGAACTTAGTCTTTTTGCTTTCAACTTAGGAGCATTCTATAGATTTTCAATGAATCAATGCATTTTCAGTTTATGATTAATTAATAAAGCTGTGCCTTTACATCTGATCCACCTACCCTGGGGCTATATGAATTTCATAATTTTAGTAAGACTCAATGCTTATTAAAATCTTGCTAATAGTTTGCTTGATGTCCAATCAAAAAAATACAATTTTGAATAATTTTGATGGGTACCCGGTTAACCCCCCCTTAGTTTGGGTGGCAGTGTTGGGAGGATGCTGTAAATGCTAAAATTTTACCAGACAGAGCACAGTGTATGACGATGGACAACTGGAAACCCAAGGGCCTTGAATTGCTCTTCTAATAAATTGTACAATCTATTACTAGTATTTGAAGCCTCCATGTTTATAAGACCCAAAATACATCAACCAAGAAAGTTCCATAATGATTCATAGCCAGTTAGGACTGAAGATATTTCAATAGAGCTATAAAATACCATAAGTAGGTCATGGTGACCTACTTTTTGGTCGACATTTTCCAAAAACCCTAGATGCCTCAACTCACAAAGTTTAACAATTCTAGGCCAATACAGACTTCTTTTGGTTTTATCTTCCTGTTTATCTCCCATTGCATAAGGGTCCAAACCCTAATTTTAGTATAAATGGTAGCCCTTGGACCAAGGATGCTCTGTGAAAATTTGACAATGATTGTCCAAGGGGATCTTGAGTTATGGCCCACATTCTAAAAAGTTTATGCACACCGCACAAATGGCCATAGCATTAGCTCTTTGAGCCTTTGGCTCAGAGGAGCTAAAAACAGTGTTCATGTACACCTATTTACTGGCTATAAGGACAAAAGCTAGTTTATCGTCCCCCAAGACAACAACTATTCCCCAAGATGCAGCTGAGAGAAATAGTTTGCTGTTGAGGGAGATGATAAACAAGCTATTTTCCGAATAGTAAGTAAATAGTTGTTTTATTATGGCACCTGATCCCACCTCTGATGTTTCGGGGGTCCGTGTTTGCTCTGCTCTTATTTTGTATAGTTTTATGGACTTTGAGATTGAATACTGTTCGTTATCTCCATATTCTTCTATTATATACTGAAGCTGACTTAATTATATGTAAGGTCCGATCTGGATAAAACCAGAAGAGTTACAAAATGAAAAATTGAACTTACCATCTGCATTAATCTTTAGCTTGGCATGAACTCATCTGTTTTTGTGTGTGTTCCAAGTGTATACTTTTTGTCCTTGAGGTTAAAAAAAAATATATGTTAAAAAAAATAGACAACTTTCACATTAAATTTACAAAAGTTATTCCCCGTTGCGGGGTCAATCCAGCATAAGGCCCTGTTTTTCCCTCTGTAACCTTTCCAAATTTATTGGTCAGTATCTTAAAAATAAAATCTGTAATGAATAATTGAATATCGTTCATTAAGATTTTCATGTTGCCCCAAACTTCGGCAATACATGTACCAGTACAGATCTAAATAGTCCAATAACGTTTGAAGATTGAAAATAATAACAGGTAACTTACAATGGACAAAGTGGGAAAAATGAGAGTTATGCCGACAAGGGGAGATAACTCTTAGTGGTGTGAAATTCGTCAAACTTGATTGCATTTCAAATTTTACATGAAAAGCTTCAAGTTACATGTAGTATTTGCAAGTCTAAAAGCAATATGATCAGAAAATCTGATTCCTTTATAATTAAAAGTATTACTGCATATTCAAGATAATACTGGTTAAACTTTAAGAATCTGTTTTGGAGTCCATTCTAGGCATTTAGGTGTTTACAAAGATGAGCTTCAGTCACCATCCTGGAATGCATGTCTAAAATCACATATAAATTCTCAATCTCAAACACAATTTATATTCATAAGGATTAAAAGGGCAGATATGTAAAAACAAAACTGTTACACCATTATTGCACTCAAAGATATTAATGTCATTTACCATCTAATGTGATGTTTTATCGATAAATACTGTAAAAAGAAATAAATTCAGGGAGTGGAACTTTACATCAAATACTAGTTGTATGTTGTTTCTTTTTTATTGCATCTTATTTGTTAGGTTAAAAAACATTTTAAATAAATACTTAATTGTTATAACAGTACTTTTAAACTTCACCTTCATTTAGATGTAACGTGCCCGTGTTGATGGATACACCTGGGTGCTGACCAAGACAGCTCACTGCCTCAACATGGTCAATATTTTCTGTTTTTGGTAACCCAAGTCTCCATTATGTAATACACTGAAAAAAAAAACCACCCCCCTTAGTTTACATGCAACACACAGTCATAAAATAATTAAATAATTGTTGATTTTATGCATTCCTCACCTTTAGCTAGGCCCTAGAACTTGCAGACGTCAGACTTCTCTTTCCAGTGACGTCACTGGTAATGTACATGTAGTACATAAATGGAGGCTGGAAAATTCCGGAAGGTATATTTTATAAGTTTTATACGGACGGTACCCACTGAATATGTGATAATTATCTAGATGAATCATTTACTCCCTTTTGAGATTTGTTGTGAATTTATCATGAATTTCTTTCTTTTTTTTTAAATATATTTTTGCTCTTGAATTCGGATTGATTATATCTACCGATGACCGAGTTCAATTTTATGTGCCTCTACCGATGTCCGATACACATGACGAGATTGGAGAAAACTTTGTTTATGGACAAACACCACTAAATGTTTTCCCATAGACTTCCATACAAATTCCAATCACTGTCACTTATTTATTTAATCAATTTTAAAAAAATCAGTCACTTTAAAGCAAAGTCCAACACCTCTTCTTCAAAATTCCACCACGAAAAATATACACTGCCGCGGCGTTTTTCCTTTGAATTTTGGCCCGTTTCCAACTGGTGTAGATCCGCACTGAATGAAAGTGTCCAGTAAAATATCACCCCTCATCTCAAGTCTTCCTTTATAAGTCCTATATCCTTTTACATATTCTAATAAGTCACATCTCATTTTTGTCACTTATATTTCACTGTCAAATTCCACCACAAAGATTTTCGGTTAATGACCAATCAGGACTCCTGTCAGCTTTTCTCCTCCGCTCAATGTTGGGTGTCCAAAATGGCGGCCCCCTGTACCTAGGCAATTCTGGTGTTTTTCCTATAACCAAAAGGATAACAAAGTGAAAAAGTGGCCATTTTGACATTTTTAGATAACATGTATATTGTACATGTAAAATATGTAATATGAAGAAATTACATGAAAAAACATGTAAATTATGACTGTCTATTTAATGTACCCCCTATAAAGAATGACTGCAACTGTGATATGAAGACGTATTGAAAAGTGAACTTCGTATTGACTTTTACAGTGCTTATTCAAATAAAATATGTAATTAACTGACTAAAAGTGTTATTTCTTATGTTTTGAAGAGACTTTGAGGGATTACATGTAATTTTCACATTCCGGGTATATTGTACCCGGTTTTAAAAAAATGGCCTAAAAATCACAAATTATTGAGAAAAAATGTCTTAAACATGTATTTAATTTTACAATTCAAAATGAAATCACTAAGCAGCTGACGGCCAATTAAGAGAAGGTTATCAAAAGAGATGAGAAGTAATTTGATCTAGAACTGTTGTTTCTCTATGGCAGTAAAACTGTCACTACCCCCTTCAATACACCTACATTTTGCAGTGAGGGTTGCTGGCTAATTCCTATCATGATAATAAATTATTGCACGATAACACATTAACTTGACATGATGCTGATAGAGCAATGGAAAAAGCACATCACAAGTGAATTTCACTTCAGACAGAGTATCCATAGTAAAACTTTAGGTCATTTTTCAAAGATGGGGAGATTTAAAAAAGGGAATAATTACTGTTTTAAACAAAAAAATGTGCCTCACAACAAAGGAAAATTACTTAAAAAAGAAGAAAACTCACCTGCACCATTCACAAGAGTAGACCGGGAAACCCTGGAACTGGTCAGACATCCACCCTCTGTGAGTGAGGAGCAGGAAATGATGCTGCGGCCTGGGTGCCACCGGTTGCTGCGGCCAAGACCCCTGAAACAGAAGGAGAATCCTGAGGTTTTGACGCAGGCCGAAAACATGGGGTAACGACTCTAGTTCTTTAAAATTTATTGAAATTTAATAAATGATACAATTTAACTAAATTAATTAGTAAATAACTTTTCTACTTATTATAAAAGGCCCATATAAGGCCAGTTTTCCTGAAATTAGGGGTATACCTAAGATCCTGTCAGATTAATAAGCTTAATTAACTCAAAATTAATTAATTCTCTAAATTATAGTAACAATCTTTAAAACTGAACATTTATTTGAGGAAAAAAGTTACAAAAGCAGATTCTTTAGACTGTGATGAGTCTTTTGTCTCAATTCTGAAAACAAGTATAGACTAAGGGGAGTAACTCTAATTTCTGAAAATGAACTTACCTGGCTAGGAAGTGATCAGGTACAAAACTGGTTTCAGCAGCTGTGATACAGACTCCCACAGACTGGTCCATCTCGGAAAGACGAGCGAGATGTTCAATACAGCCTTTAAAGAACATGGGCGGACCAATCCTGGCTGTGATGGCAGACTGACCTGGGACATGGACTCCGAGGACAGGCGTGGCCTGGGTACTCGACTTCGGCTAAAATGCAGCAGGTGCCCTTATGTGTCCGAAATGCACAACCTCTATGAGGAAGTGCAAACTAACTCAAGGGGAAGGAAACCCGCAACAGTCAACTATGGCCTTCAAGTAGGTCTAAGTCAAACCCCGATTGGCAGTTCATCTCTGCGCAAAATTTTTATGGCCACCAACACTCCACCTCCAGCCGAGTCTTCACTACAAAAGACAAGTAACACCGTCATGCAAAAAGTAGTCACCCTTAATAAATGTGATATGAAGGAAAGATGCAAGAAATTAGTTAATATTAATAAATTGCGGGGGGCACCAAACCCAAATAACATAGGAATACAGTGCGATGGGATGTATAATAACCCTCTCTACTCTGGGGTGGGGGAAACCCCCTTCCAGCCTGCTACCCAGACCGTCTTCTCTCTTGCAGAAGATGTGACCAGTAGTCACGAGATAATATCCCTAGTGACCAAAAACAAGATATGTCCCGAGGGTCAGCACCTCAAGAACAATCCAAGCCATGTGTGCACTGAGCAGACATGTGGGGCAAATATACCCATGACACAAAACATTGGTGACGAATTCACATGGGCCAAAGAGGGCATACAAGACCTTCTCAAGAATGATTTAAATGTCAAGGACATTACATCTGACCCCGATAGTACAATATTCAAGGCCGCAGAGTCTTTGTATGCGGAGGGCAAACTATCGGACGAACCGCGACATTTTGTCGACACTCGGCACCTTGCTGAAAATGTCAGAAAGGCCATTAAGAAAGATGAATCTTTACAGAAAATTATGCCCAAAAGTACTAAAGCTGAAAGAACCAAACTGCTGCATAACTTTGCTATAGATTTTACAGACAGATGCACTGGTGAGATAAACCAAGCTCAAATTAAATGCACAGGTCATGCAAGCAAAATTAAGAAGCAACTCTCTTATGTGAGTGATGCAATAATTTGCTGCTACATGGGTGAACATGCTTTGTGCAAAAAACACTCTTTAGTATGCAAGGGTGGAAAGAGAAATTGGCTCACTAAAAGTGCTTACCTTGATGGAAACTTCAAAATTCCATACTCCAGGGCCAATGCAAGGATTCTCCAGACCTGCGTCAACAGGCGGCTTGCCCCGTCAGTCCTAGACAAGTCCATTCTTAATACCAATACACAGAAAGTGGAGAGCTTCAACAGGCGTCTAAGGCGCTCACTGCCTAAGAATGTCACTTTCGCACGCAACTTCCACGGTCGGGCGCACAGTGCAGCTCACAGTACAAATAACGGCCCGGGGGAATCCATCAAGGTCTTATGTGCTGGTGTGGGTGCCCCCATCCCAGAGGGGGGAGGGTTAGTCAATCTCTGAAAAATATTCAAAATACTTATGAAAGGCAAAAAATATATCAGAAATCAAAAAAATATAGAAATACTAGAGTAATTAAAAGGAAAAAACTGTATAAACTTTATGAACAGCATCAGGAGGAAGTAAATTACAGAAAGAATATGATGTTTTCAAAGTCAGTTAAAGACCAAAAATCTCAAAATTTAAGCAAAAAAAATGAGCACAGCTATTCAAAACCCCTAAATAAATGAAATAAAATTTACATGTAAACTATAATTACATATAATGCACCAGGGCAAGTGTGACTTGCTGCACAGCCCCTGAGACTGGCAGTGATTCCTCTCCTGGTTGACAGAGTGGGACTCTAACACCAAGTGCTGGGGGTTCACACATAGCTTATTGTGACACAGGTGACTGCACTCTACATTGTCACGCGGAAACTGACTCCGTGTCTGTTTCCTGTCGACCATAAGGGCTACTCTGTGTGCCTTTTCCACCTTTCTACCCTCCTCTGGCCAGTAAACAGTTTGTAACCCATAGCCAGAGGAGGAAATCCTACCCCTCCAATACACACAAGTGTCCCCCTGGGGGCCCCGCTCACTTTTAACATGTAATTTTTTTTTTAAATTCTCAAGAAATGCATCCATTTTATAATGAAAATGACAAATGGCGCCTAAATTGCACTATTTTCTTACACTTACCTTATAAAGTAGTTCTTGCCTTCTTTGTATAGGACAAACACCACTAAATGTTTTCCCATAGACTTCCATACAAATTCCAATCACTGTCACTTATTTATTTAATCAATTTTAAAAAAATCAGTCACTTTAAAGCAAAGTCCAACACCTCTTCTTCAAAATTCCACCACGAAAAATATACACTGCCGCGGCGTTTTTCCTTTGAATTTTGGCCCGTTTCCAACTGGTGTAGATCCGCACTGAATGAAAGTGTCCAGTAAAATATCACCCCTCATCTCAAGTCTTCCTTTATAAGTCCTATATCCTTTTACATATTCTAATAAGTCACATCTCATTTTTGTCACTTATATTTCACTGTCAAATTCCACCACAAAGATTTTCGGTTAATGACCAATCAGGACTCCTGTCAGCTTTTCTCCTCCGCTCAATGTTGGGTGTCCAAAATGGCGGCCCCCTGTACCTAGGCAATTCTGGTGTTTTTCCTTATTGTTTTTAGAGTAAATTTTAAACCAATGCGAACTCATAACATCATGCCAGACATGAAAATGGACGTAAGGTAAACAATGTGAAATAAATTGAAACATTAGATACGCACACGACAAGTCAACAACGCACACACATGTATGCTTCAGTTGTGATCTCATGGTCATTGGGTTTAAACAAACATCAATGTTTATGTCAAAAAAAGATATTTTAGATTTTAAAATATATAATTATTAGTTTGATAAAATACATGCAACTTCTGATCTAAGGACATGTTATACATATTATAAGAAGGATTTTATAGATGGTCATATCACTATGATTGCTCTTCTTCCTGAATAACAGGTTAAGCCCTAAGCATTGCTAAGTGCCTATTGATTGTTATGTTAAATAATATCTTGATTAGTTCTCCAAAATCACTTAAACTATTAAGGTAAAATAGTTAGTTGTGGAAGTCAGCCATACTTTTATACAAAAAGTTCCTGTATTTTAAGCGAAATTATGTATTCCCTAGCACCAATAAATATTTAACGCATTGTTTTTTTTTTCTCTTTATAGCAAAAACTAAATGATAATTTGATTAATAAATTAAATTTGAAATAAAATAAAAAGGATTAGATTTATAGTCAAGCTACATTTATCATACATGTATGTAATAGTATGAATTTACAAAATATACAGCCTTCTCATTCTCAAACATAGGTTTTCACACACATGTAAAACACCTTTTTAAATGCATATGTAACACGTGCCTGATAATACACATACTATATTCATCAACATATATGTAATGAGAGCTTTAGAAAAACAAGTTAACCATAATTTATTTATGTACATTAGTATATTTAATGTGTGGTTTATAATGCACATAAACTACATGTATATCGTCTTCCCAAGTCCAGAGTTTCTGATCCGCTCCGCTCCACATAAACCCTTGACTGAATAGGCTAAGTTTCACGGGGCTAGAAATACGTTCTCTGAATGGCCTCATGCAAGTTTTTATAAACCAATCAAAATCATTGTTTTATTTAAACTGAAACTACATCGTAACCATAAAAACACGTCAGTTTTAGTCCGAAGGATAGTGTATTTTTCATTAGATAGCCCTTTTAAAGGTTTGTCTCAGTTTTGTAGTTGAGTTATATTGAATTTATTACCGACTACCAATATTATCTCGAATTCCCTGTTGAATTCGTTTACTCTGATTGGCTAATAGCAGAGGTCAGGAGAGTTCAAAATATGTAATCTCACTAGATGGCGTGACAGTAAACCCCGTCAAACTTAGCCTATTCGGTCAAGGGTTTATGTGGAGCGGAGCGGATCAGAAACTCTTGACTTGGGAAGATGAAACTATATTATATACATGACATTTGTGCTTTATAAAACACATGTAAACCATGAGTTCATTAACGTACGTGTAACATGTGGTTGACTATACACATGTAAACCATGTGTTCATTAACATACGTGTAACATGTGGTTGACTATACACATGTAAACCATATGTTAATTAACGTACGTGTAACATGTGGTTGACAATACACATGTAAACCATACGTTTATCAACGTACGTGTAACGTATGGTTGCACATAACATATGTTACACGTACGTTTCACGTACGTAACACATACGTGTATTCCAAACATACGTTTAACGTACGTTATGTGAAACGTATGTAGTCACACATATGTTATACGTACGTTGTACCACATACGTGAAACGTATGTTCGTAATACACGTATGTGATACGTACATTTCACATACGTGATACATGTGTTATGTGCAACCATATGTAACACGTACGTGGCACAATTAGCTGTGTAATCTACGCTATTTCTGGTAAATTGTACATGGAAACCTGCGAACTCAAAAGTAAAAAAAAACAAAATCTGGAGGCTTCTTCTGTTCTGATTGATGACATACTTACAAAGAGGTTTTCATTGGCTGTTGTTATATCTCGGTGACGTGTATATATTTAAATAACATTTGAGGCTAGCCCAAACAAAATTTTTATAACCTCTATAAAATTTAAAAAGAACTTTATCTAGGTCAAAAATAATATTTTGACTAATGAAATTCATTTAGTCCAGTTATTAGAGATAAGAACCGTCGAACAGGAATTGTTTCAATGAACTTTTAAAAATTCAACTTGGTTAATAAATGTACCATGAGCTATGTTTATAAAAGAAATGAAAAGAAAGTGTCTCGCAGGAGACAAAACAAGCCTAACAGAAACAGACGTGCTGCTAGTAAAGTATGTTCTTGGTGGTACCTGAATGGATATTTGCTTTTTATTATCGCATCAAACATAAAAAGTGTGTTGTTTTATTTTGATTATAGAAATAATCTTTATTTAGATATTGATTACACATGCATAAAATTTTCATTCAAATTTTGACTGAACCGAAATATATGATTTATTTTGTAAACAAAAAGGCAATTTTGATTGATAAAATTTAATATTTCCCTGGCATAAACATTATCAGCCTTTCCCCCCCCCCCCCTCCAAAACCATCTGATTGCACACATAAGTACTCTGAAGTTGACATCAAAAAGATGCTTGAGTTTCTGATTGACAATATCTAGGT